CTTCATCAAAGGGATTAACATATAAATTAACAAACATTTAATGAAAAATCTCTGAAGGAAAACGTGTGAGAGCATCACCTTCTCTGTCCCACATACTTTGAGTCTTAATCCAACTTCTAGCTGCCAGAAATTGAGGTAAATCCTGCAGTATGGTGCCTACCACCCTCTCCAAACTGAAGTTAGCATTATTTATCGTACCTCTCTGGTACCTCTTTTCCTTTCCACTGAAGGCTGTAAAGAGGTGAAGTACGAAAATATTCCAGTGCCCACAGCAGGACTTAAAAACCCCTCATGCAAAGCATTTTCCTGATCCAGCTGGATGTCAGAGTATGAATGAGATAGACAACCAAAGTAACAATGCCAGAAAAGGGGAATATTTTCAGAAGAAATTGTCAGACTGCGCGTGCTTTCTTACAGCAGTGAGGAGGTTAATTGCATCAGCATCAGAGTGTGCTACTCCATGGTTACAGCCCTGAAAAGTCATCCTACTATAAAAGCACCTCTATATTTCTTGTAACGGTCTAATCTTCAGGGGAAAAAGTTACTCCCCTGATTTGCAGTAAATTACAGCTCTGGGCAAAACTTCGCTGGAAGAGAAATATTTCTGTCCATCCACTTTTATCTATCCACAAGATACAATCAGTTTCTGTTGCAGAAAGTCTCCAGAACATCCAGTTACAATTTCAGCCAAGGTTAACTTGCAGCCCCCAGCTCCCCCCGCCACAGACCCTGGACTTGCTCTGGAGGTGTGGGGCTGCTCAGGAACACACTGGTGATTTTCCACTGTCTATGCAATGCATACACTATGATGTTTCTCAGGTGTCTCAGTTACACGGCTCAGGATTTTCTAACACTGCAAATCCATTTCTTCATGATACAGCATGCTTGAAAAAAATCTTTAGAGAAAGTATAACAATTTCAGAAGGTAGAGCCTGCTAACTTCTTGTTCAATTTGTCCCAAGGAAATAAGTTATAAAAATAAATCTCTTCACTCGGATTGCCCCTTTTTTTGATAGACATTCTTTCACATTCACCTGAATTCTCAAGAAATCACTGCTCTTTGCTTTTCGTTATATGTAGAGGACAAAAGGAAAATATAGGACGTTTAAACAAGTGAGTGCAGTTAAAAAAAAAAAAAAAAAAAAGCCAGAATAAACACCACATGAGAAATCTGAGACTGTCCTCCTTGGGGAAGGGGGAAAAAATGTTATAGCCTCCATACAGCCCCCTCCTTCCTATGCTTGCCTTTCACACCCCACAAGAGCCTCCAGAAATGCAACTTATTATTAAGAAAGCAAACCAGAAAAACCTCATTTCAGCTCATTCTTTCCCATCCATCCTGATGCCACTGGCTTTTTCCATCGCATTCCCTCTCACCCTGCAGGGATCTTCTGCTTAAATAAGAAATAGTATAAGCAGCCACACTCTTCCTAGATGTGAAGACGGATTACATTAGTTCAAACCTAGTGCCAGGTCCCCAGCTTAAACACTGTCCCAACAGCATGATGCTCAGGTACATAACTGACCTTTTACCTGTGCAGTTTATAATAATTCGACGTGCCTGCAAAGCACCTGCAGAATCTCACAAGGGAGGCTGGCTGTTTAGGGCACTGACACCACCAAGTAAACACAGAGACATAACTAGCTTGAATTTCATAGGAATGTCTCCGTTCCACAAAACTACATGTGACATTTCTGGGAAAGGACTACAACTAAACACAATGCTTATTTGTAATCTTAAATTCACGACATCTCCTGTCCTACTTTATTTTTCCTCATCTGGCACAAACAGGTTCAGAGAGGGGACTTTTTGCTGCAGCTCCACATAGGGAAAGTATTTACCAAAAGCAGATAACCTTCTGGAGCCTGTTCAGTGAAGCTTCTCATCCTCACAGATGCCTTGTATCCCCCAACACTTCTTTCCCCAGTTTCCCCAAATCTGCTTTAAACATCACTATTATGTTTGAACAATCAGATGGGGCCTTCTTCAGTCCTCTAGTGTGAATTAGGAGGAAGGTAACTCAGAAGTGTCCTGATGTTTTCCCATATCAAAGCTGACTGGCTCACAGAACCTGAACGCGCCAGGACATATACACATTCAGAAGCATTTTAACTGATCTGTTTTAACCGATCTGAGTCCAGAGTTACAATGTAAGACCTAGTTTATTTGTTTATTAAACAGCATTATGATGTCCTGGGAAACTTTAAGTTGCTTATATTCTATGAAGTGATATCACCAAAATGAAACAGCAGGTCACGGTGTCACAGCTGGAAATCTTGAATCCATCATAACAAGACCTCCAAGTTTCCAATTCAAAAAGATCTGAAGTGCTGAAGTATTTTTCCTCCTAAGTGTATTTAGCTTAAGGTTCTGCTTTCTGTGGTTCACTGAGAATAGGATTGATGTTAAGCTAGATAAGGTTTCTCCTGGAAATCTCAGCTGTGATGGTGCTGCATATGGAAAGAGTACGAAAAGCTGTAGTACAGTACTGTCTACCCTGGAGGCAGGGTTACTTTGCCATGCTGCCATGCCATGGGTTCTTTACAAGCTATGGAAGCACATGAAATACAGAAACACTACAATTCTGGTGACAGGAAAGCATGGACCATGAATGATGTGTGACATGGTTGGTAACTGCTTGTGGCAGAGCATGATTTATGAACTTAAGATCAAGCAACAGATCCGGGATACATGAGGAGAAGATCTTCTAAAATACATACTATGTTTAAAAGATTTTATCATCAAGGCAAACAATGTGACCACACAAACAGGTGCATGGAAGAGAACCCTTATCGAGAAATCTAACATTCAACCTTTTCCTATTTGACCGATGGATTTCAACATTCTTGCATCTTTGCAAGTTTACAGACAAGAACAGTGGTAGAATAGTGGTTTAAATAGACCTACAGCCTCTAGCCTCCAGGTTTTCCAGAAGATGGATAAACTTCAACAAAAGTGCACACACTTTAGAAGTACCACTTCCTACAAGTACTTCAGCAGAAAAGGAAGTTTAGTCTGTCTAGCATCAGTTGTCTAAATATTCTCTTCTATAATGAAACCATTAATTGAAACTGCTAATAGAGACGATGACTCTACTAGTAGAACTAGCATCCAGCTAATGTGGAAGCCCAAATCCAGCAGTAGATTTATACCCATACAAAAGCCCATGTCTCTTTGTCAACAACAGAATGGCTTGGTTTCCTTCAATCCCTTCAGCTGACTACAGTTCATTTACGAGATAAGTATTTTCTCAAAGCTCACTCAAGATATGCCTGTGAAGGAGAAAAGAAATAATCACAGTCTTCACACAAAAGAAGTTAGGAAATACTCTGCTATGCATCTTTGGCAGTTTTTCCTCCCCAGATTAGTAAATCCATCCAGGATTAATCAGCTTAACCAGAAAGACTATTAAACACTGTTAAGATGCAAAATACTATCTGAGAAATAAAAGTTAAGCAATGAGCACTCTAACTCTTGGCATATAAACTACAAAGCACTATTTCTTAAAGATAAAAGTCACAAGACCAGTTTTTTAGTGCCAACTGTATGTGCCTGGAGAACAAGGAGTAACCTAATACAGTTTCAGGTAAATCTGATACATCTCTATATCCACATGCTGTAGCCACTTCTTTTGGTCCTATGGTTTATGCCCCAAGGAAACAAAAAGAAGATGGAGATGGGGGAATTGAAGGTCTCCTTCAAAGAAGTAAAAGGAATATGAAGCAGTCAGGAAGCTGACAAGAATTCGCCTAAGAAATTTTGGGCAGATAAAGGGGGAATTAATTCAGCTCTGATTTCAACAGACAGGTTAAAGTAGAAAAAATAGTGATCATTTTCCTCTCAGCTCTCTGTATCTGAATTATCAGCACCAGATCTTACTATATACTGAAAGAGAATTTTGCATATAGAAAACTCCAGAAGGAAAAATTGTTAAACACTACATTTCCCAATATGTTAACATAGGGTTAATATAAAAACAAGATTTTACTGCTTGAAAAAAAAAAAAAAAAAAAAAAAAAGATGGCTTTATCCTTCAACACAGCGCAAGTGAAGTAAAAGAATTAAGTAATAATAATAGTAATAAAAGCAACAAATCCACTCCGCTGCATAACCCTGGAAGAAAGTTTGTTCATGAACTGCATGGCAGCGTACGACTCTAAAAGCTACCAGGAGGATATGAAATAAGATCTCTTCCCAGCATTTCATGCTCTTCCATATAACAGATTTAAAGAGAAACAAACAAGATGTACAGGATATTGATGAGCCTCTGAACAATCCCTCTTTTCATCAGGATCCAAACTGAGTTCCAAAAGCTGCCTGGAACATGCCTAGCTATTTCTGTTCCTCAGCAGTACAGTCATGGAAAGTTTTTCATGTACCACAGCAAGGCCACAGAGCAAACAGTTTATCACTGAGTGCCTGAGCTTGTGCAATAAACAACAAAGAGAGAGTAATACATGGCAAAACCTTGAAAGCTGAAATTTGGACTCTAATTACCTGGTCAGATGCTCTATTGAATGGGTTGTGTGGGATAATTTCTTGTTTAGAGAACAAAAGCCAGTCTTATTTGTCTGGACTGTAATCTTGGTTTTATAGTGGATTGTTATCAGTGCTTTTTCCCTGGAATGCAATTTCTCTACACAGATTTAAAAGAATAAGTCTTTTTCTACTCCTCTGAGAAAAACAGCACATTATGTAGCTGCTCCTGTATAGTTTTTGTCCATATTTGACCTGGTGAAAGGCAACCAGCCCAATTCTCAGCTATACTTTGGTTTCCTTCAGCTCCCTGGCAAGAAGACCATACAGAAAACCTACAGAATGCCTCCCTCTGCAGCATGAATTAGCATTGAGGCTCTTCAGCCTATTTTTCCCCCTTCCTATTCTATTCCATCCACAGCTCTTAGGACACAAGCATACAACTTGGCCTCCCCTTGAGGTGCACCAGGTTTCCCAGCCAGAAGTCATGGAACCAAACAGATTTTGGCTACAAGGCACATACCTGCATTATTCAGGAGTAAGAGCTAGCAGAGGAGATCCCAGAGTATATCACAGGTATACAGCAACTGAATCTGTTATGGTTCAGAGACATTTCCTGGTGGGATTAGCAGGCAGCTGTGTTAAAGAGCAAATGAGCAATGTCAATCAAGCCCAGTGGTTCCTGCTGTGCTATACTTCACAGCTGAGGATCTGCAAAACTCACAGTTGCCTACTAGAGTGCCTTTGCTAGTCAGATGCTAATGTGGGAACAACAAATTGCTTAAGAGCCATAGTTTGATTCCTCCTAAGACATAATGATTTTAAATCATAAAGAACAGTAAGATTCAGAACATGGTACTTCTGTAACTTTCATAAGAAGTCCAGTACAAATCCAGAGGAAAAATCAGACAAAACAAGGATGACTTGCCTCATTTTGTTATCTGCCTTAAAGATATATAGAGACAAGAAGACCTCATGGTTTCATGCATCTTATTAAAGTCTTTCCACATCTTCCTCTCTTTTTTCTTTCTACAACAGCTTACTGAAGTACTTTGGGAAGGTCCACTTTATCAGTGTGTGATCACACTATTGCTAATGCAAGACTTTTCCAAAAAAAAACAGCCCAGAGATGCTGAATGGAAAGTACACTCTGATCAAATATTTACTATTGCTACCAGGGATGGAGTTGAGAGGTGGTATTTCCATGACGTTTTGTTCCTGTAAAACCAAGAACTGTTCTATAAACTTTGAATGTCACTTGCAATTGCTAAACTCAACACCAGAAGAAAGCAAAGAGATTCAAAAAGGATGAGATTGCTTATTCTCAGGGTATCACACATAATTAATACTTATTAATGAATGACATTAAAAAATGAATCCTCATGATGACTGTGAGAAGTAACTGATTATAACAAAAGAATTCAAATGTAAGAGCAGGGTGACGCAGATACGCAGTGCAAGGTTATCTTGCTCTGTTCTACACTTAAAGGCATACGTGCATGGCTGTGAGTTTATTTTAAAAAGGATATTCATATTCCAAAAATCTGCTAGGAATAATAATCTATAAATCCTAGGTGTTTCCATATCACCCATTGGCCAGAGCTCTCAGAACAATCTATGAGAATCAGTGAATAAAAATATTTTTACTGCCTCTAGACTGCATCAGGTCATTTCTCACCATCTCTTTGAAAGCTGACTGAGAGAAACGTGGAATTACGTATAAGCTGGCTGCACACGCAGAGAGAGCAAATGGGGACAAGAAATGTGAAAGATATGCCATGTTCAAGGCAGCAACAGTGGAAAATTCAAAATAAAGTGTAAAAGTTCAGCACAAGAGATTAAAATAATTCCAGCAGCTGATTTTTTTCTGGCAGAACAGAAGTTTCTCTTATGAGAAACGTGCAGATAGACTGAAACAGTTGCCTTTACCCTATTTTCTGTTTCTTTGCACCCTTCTGGGGGTACAACAAACCAAAACAGTTTGGCACTGAGCATAACCAGTTGCACCTGCAGTGCAACTGCAAGTACAGCTTAATTTTGGGATATATGGAGATTTCTCTTATCCCTTTATACATTATTTTAAATACAGCCTGCAATTAACTATCACAAATATTATAAAACAGAAAATGAAGTCAGAATTGTTGGGGTGGCTTGTTTCTACTCCACTCTTCAGTGTCTCTGCAGAGACACATAATATTTCTGGCCAAAGTACTTTTAAAATTGCTGTTAATAAAGAGTAAGTCCTACACTGTGTTTTACCTAAGTCTCCCCTGCAATAACTTAGAAGTGGAGATATTGCATAAAATTGCTTTCATTCTGAAGAACAGGAGACAGCAGCAAGTAAAATACAAAAGAAACATTTTAGATTATAACTTGAGTTTAGATGATTCCTACTTGTTACAGCAGCCCATCCCACCTCCAGCTAGAGAACATCACACAGTGTTTTAGAGGAGCACTTACTAAAGCATCAATAGATTCCCTCAAAAGTAAAAAAAATATTAAAAATGAAGAAGACATGGTGATGATGTATTTCACCCCACAGAGCATCCATTTTTCTTGAACAATTTCCAGACAAGCCTATACATTCACACATATAATATTTAGCAAGTTTTTGCTAGCATCTGATTTAAACATGACTATAAACCTCTGAAGGCTACTGTAAAATGCAGACTAGAAAATCCCTTGTTTCTGTTGTTTTGCTGTTATAATGTTTACCTCCAGGAATTTGCTGTGGTCGAACTCTTCATCACAGACTCACCGTACTATATTTGCTGTAAAAACAAGAAGCCCGTGCCTTCTCCATTTCCTTTCCAAGAGCATTGTTTTATGATGTTTTAATTATTCTCCTTTTAGCTTAACAATTTAACAACTAATTTGAGCATACTTTCATTGCTTTGTTACCCCAACTTCAAAGTCGAAGTAACTGGCCATGAGCACACAAGCCTTGATGCTCATTACGTATCCCTAGGTGGCTTCATTTCTGTATGTATCACTTAACAGCCTCTTTTTTTCCTTAAGATGGTCTCATAACACACATTTATATTTTAACAAGCACAGAAAGGCTAGAAACTGCAATATCTGCTTCAAAAGATCTTGTGGCTCCAAACAAAACAAAAACAGCTCAGGTTCTACCGTGTAACAAAAGCAATGTTGAAAGAGCAATGATATTTTCAAGGGGCAATTTATAGCAAAACTTACAGTAGTAACAAAAATGTAGGAATACTCACTGTTCGTGCATGAACAGAGCTCAAGAATAGATGAGAAAGAAGCACTCTCAAATAAGAGTGAGAACCAAGCAGCAACAAATCCAACTGCACAATCTGGTAGCAGTATAACCAAAGGGTTGGAGAAAACTTTCCACTTTTCTAGTCTCCCAAGAATCAAAAATAATTTGGCAGACACTTGAGGCAGGAAATAAAGAAGTTTTACTTGAGGCCTCAAACATTATTTATAAAAATGTCTGCTTATAGTAATATTCAATGAGAATCTCATACAATCACAACTGTAAAATGTATTTTTTTTAAGACATAACTTAATTGTACTGGAGTTGCCTAACATATTTACATCTGTAATTGCCTCTCATATGTGTATACATATGTGTGAGTGTAATTATATAAATACCTATAAATTAATTTGTTTACTTTTAAAATATATTACTAATAAACAAAAACATCCTTCTGATTGCACTAGACTGTTTGGTTTAAACACTGATCGCTAGAGCACTGACAAACATTATTTTTGTGAGTTTGGAGAGGTGCAAATATTTGCAGTTTACAGATCCCTTCTTGCAGAAAAGCAGTGTCCAGCAGTTAAACACAGGGCCATTCTCTGAGAGTGATTCACTGTAGGTGAGCCCCCAAAGAAGCAGAATAGTGGATGGTGGCGACAGCAACATTTTCTGGAAAGGTCAAAAAAGGAGCCCTGAAAACAAAAATAGGTGGTGTTTAAAACAAACAGCACACTGGCAGCATTCACAGCCTGGCACTCAGCGTTACACCACAGTCCAGATACAGATTAAGTTTTCTCCCTGCAAACAAGAGCATGTTCTCAGTCAAAGCGACCTGATGTAAGGGGCCTGATATAAGATGCAGCCTGACCTTGGCAACATGTAATCTTCATGGGGAACCACATCTTGTGAGTGCTCTGCCCTCCTTGCTCCCAAATGGCAGAGACTGGCCACCTGCATGGGGACCTGCAGCCAGCCACTGGAGGAGGCCTCCTGGCTAGCACTGGCCACCTCAGGCAGTCGCTGACGCAGGAGGGATTTTGGCAGCATTTTGCATGTCTGAGGCTGGCTGTTCAATAGCTGTGACTCCCAGCAAGCAACTTCTTTTTGGCCCACGCTCAGCACAGCTCAGTGCGCAAAGCCCAAAAAACAGCGGCTGATATACAGCTGTGGAAGAACACAGCACCTGAAGGCTTTTACCATAAGCTGTATACCAAGAGATGCACCGCAGGCGTTGAGCAGCCATATAAGGCACAATCCTGGCACTGAGCTGCTGCTCTCACTCAAGACTCCCTCACCTCAAACTGCTGCAGCACAGCTCCTGACTGTGCAGACTCCCACATACTCTCTGGTTGCACAAGCCTGGGTCTGAGAGCAGGAGCAGATGAACCTGGTAACACAGTGACCAGCTCAACAATCTGAAATGAAAGTAAACAACAACAAGTAAAGGAACAAGCACATCATTCATCCTTGTCACCCTGTTGTCTTTTTGTCAGACGCTCCTAAAAGCAAGGTGAGGGCTGCTGCTATCTCTGTAGTCCTCAAAAGAAGCAAGTCCATTTCTTCCCACTCGTACAGGGGCATAACACAGAAGAACCTGTAACACTGATGCTCCTGTGCCCAAAGAGCTGCTCCGGTAGCAGAAGGGCTCCATGCTGAGACCAGCAGGGACTGAATCTGCCTTTGTGCAACCTTTCCTGTCCCAACCTGCCCCGACAAACAGGACCTGAAAAGCTCGTTCCTCTTCCAAGTTCTCATATGAGAGAAGAGCCAGTTTTGCAAAACAGACTCAACAAGGATGAATTCTACCCTATCTGCACAGCACCAGTAGGAAAATGTGGTTTACAGAGATGACCAATGCATCCAAGGAAATGTTTCCTGTCATGTTTGTAGGCACTTTCATGTCTCACATTTCTGAAAGGAGAATACCAGCTTTTTTTTGCACTCTAGATCAGCTGTAGCAAAAAGCATGGATAAATAGGCACTTTCAGCACTGTTTTATTGGTCTTGGGAATCTTTTTAGTCAGTGAAATCCAATTAGACATAACTGAAACTTGGTCTCTTTGATCTATCACTGCAACTCCTGCAGTTCACCATCAAACAAAATCAAGTACTAATATAAAACACTAAAGCAAGAAAAGCAGACTTTCTTGTGTACATCTGGTACTAAAAATTTGGTCTGAGAAGAAAAAAGTACTCCACCACTGACAAGAAAGCATGATGATTTGTAGAGCAATTTACTTGTTTCTTTGAAAAAACACTGGTTTGAAACCTGGCTGCAATCATGAGTATGTAAGCAAATGTACAATCATCAGGAATCAAGACACAGCACCCCTAAGCCTGTGGAGCCTGGCCTTCTATCTTCAGGTATCAGACACAC